TATATTTTCATCTGCTTTGTCAAAGATTACATGGCTATATGAGGATGGTTTCATATCTGGGTTCTCAGTTCTGTTCCATTGGTCTGTGTGTCTGTTCTTGTGCCAGTCTAATGCTGTTTTAGTTACTATAGCCTTATAGTATAGCTTGAATTCTGGTAAATTGATGCCTCCCAATTTTTTCGTTTTGCTTAATATTGCTTTTGCTGTGCTTTTGTATGTATCCAAAATACTGTCCAGACCAGTGCTATGCAGATTTTTCTCCTATGTTCTTTTCTAGTAGTTTTAGAGTTTCAGGTCTTACATTTAAGTCTTTAATCCATTTTGAGTTAATTTTTTATAAAGTATAATATAAAGTCCAACAACATTCTTCCATATGTGGATATTCAGTTGCCCCAACACTATTGTGTTCTTTCTCCATCATATGTTCTTGGCACCTTTGTCAAAAATCAATTGACTTTTATTCATTTATGGGCTCTCTATTCTGCTGGTCTGTGTCTGTTTTATGCTAGTTTCATGCTGTTTTGCTTACTATAGCTTTGTGGTGTATTATTAATTCAGGTGGTGTAATGTTTCTAGCTTTATTGTTTTGCTAAGATTGCTTTGATATTTGTGGTCTTTGTGGGTCTATATAAAGTTTAGGAATTATTTTTCTTCTGTGAAAAATATCACTGGAATTTTGATAGGGATTGCATTGAGGCTATAGATTACTTTAGGTAGTATGGACATTTTAAATATATTAAGTATTCCAATCCATGGACATGGGATATCTTTCCATCTATTTGTATATTTTTTTAGTTTCTTCCATCAATGTTTTATAGTTTTCAGTGTACAGGTCTTTCACCTCCTTGGAGAATTAATAACTAAGCATTTAATTTTTTGGTAGCTATTGTAAATGGAATTGTTTTCTTCATTTCTTTATCAGACAGTTTTTTGTTAGTGTATAGAAATACTACTGATTCTGTATGTTGATTTTATATTCTGCAACTTTATTGAATTCATTTATCAGTTCTAAGAAGTTTTTTTTGGTGGAGTCTTCAGGGTTTTCTATACATAAGAATATGTACTCAGCAAACAGACATCATTTAAGTTTAAATCTCCAATTTTGATATCCTTTATTTCTTTCTCTTGCCTAATTGCTCTGGCTAGGACTTCCACTACTATGTTAAACAGAAGTGGTGAAAGTGGGCATCCTTGTCTTATTCCTGATGTCAGAGGTAAAGCTTTCAACTTTTCACCATTTTATTTGATGTTAGCTATGGTTTGTTATATATGGGCTTTATTGTTTTGAGGTACATTCCTTCTGGGATATTATGAGATACATATTTGGTCTTCATCCCTGTTTCCTGGCATACAATTCCTACAATCCTTGGAACTTCCAAAGTGTTTTTTATATTCTAATGCTGACTGATAGCTTCAGGATGGGGCCAGTCACAGAAAAGACAAAGGCATTATTGCAGGATTGTGATTTTCAGTCCCACCCCCAACCTCAGGGGCTGGTGGGGGAGAAGGGCTGAGGGTCAAGTTGATCATCGGTAGCCAATGGTTTAATCAATGATGCCTATGTAATGAAGCCTCCATAAAAACTCAAAAGGACAGGGTTCAGAGAGCTTCTGGATAGCTGAACACATGGAGGGTATCCTAGTGGGTGGCATGCCCAGAAAGAGTATGAAAGCTCCAGGCCCCTTCCCCCATACCTCACCTTATGCATCTTTTCATCTGTATGCTTTGTAATATCCTTCATAATAAACCAGAAAATGTAAGTAAGTGTTTCTCTGAGTTCTGTGAGCTACTCCAGCAAATTGCTTGAACCCAAAGAAGCAGTCATGAGAACCGCAACTTAAGGTTCCCCAACATGGAAACCCCTACCTGAGCCAGTTGCTCAGAAGTTGTGATGGCCTTAACTTGCAACTGGTGCCTGAAGCAAGGGAAATCTTGGGGACTGAGCCCTCAACTTGTGAGATATGATGCTATCTCCAGGTAGATAGTGTTAGAATTCAATTAGAGGGAACTGAACTAATATCAGTTGGTGTTTCGGGGAGGAAAATCCACACATTTTGTTGCAGAAATCTTCTGTGTTGATGCTTGTGTTGGTGTGAGAACAGGAGAAAAACACAGTTTGAGAGTTCTTCTAAAACACCTTCTATATTTGATTTGCTGAGAGTTGTTATCATGAATGGATGTTGAAGTCTGTCAAATGCTTTTTCTTCAGCTATTGAGATAATCATATGGGTTTTGTCCTTCATTCTGTTAATGTGAGATATAACAATTATAGATTTGTATATAACGAACCTTAGGACAAATCTTGCTTATTCATGGGAAATGATCCTTTTAATTCACTACTGAATTCAGTTCACTAGTATTTTGTTAAGAATGTTTACATCTATATTCATCAGGAATGTTGGTCTAAAATTTTCTTCTAGTGTCCTTGTCTGGCTTTGGTATCAGTGTAATGCTTATCTAGTAAAATGAGTTTTAAAGAATTCTCTCCTCTTCAATGTTTTTGGTAGAGTTTGAGAAGGACTTAGTTCTTTATATGTTTGATAGGATTCAGCAAAGAAGCCATCAGGTCCTGGGTTTTTCATTGATGGGAGACTTTTTATTACTGAATCGGTCTCCTTTTTTGTTACTGTTCTGTTCAGATTTTCTATTTCCTAATGATTCAATCTTGTTTGGTAGGTTACATGTGTCTAGAAATTTATCCATTTCTTCTAGTTTATCCAATTTGTCAGTATATAATTGTTCATAGTAGTCTCTTATGTTCCTTTGTATTTCTGTGGTATCAATTGTGATGTCTCCTCTTTCATTTCTGATTTTAAGTCTTCTCTCTTTCCTACTCTAGCTAAAGGTTTTCCAATTTTGTTTATATTTTTTAAAAAGCAACACTTAGTTTCATTGATCTTTTCTATTGTTTTTCTAGCCTCTGTTTCATTTATTTCTGCTGTGATATTTATTATGTCCTTTCTTCTGCTAACTTTGGGCTAGTTTGTTGTTATTTTTGTAGCTCCTTGGTGTGTGACATTAGGCTTTTTATTTGAGATCTTTTTTTCTTTTTTGATGTATGCATGTATTGCTATAAACTTCCCTCCTAAAACTTTTCTGCATCCCGGGAATTTTGGTATGTTGTGTGTCCATTTTCATTTGTCTTAAGATACTTGTTTTAATCTCCCTTTTAATTTTTTCTTTGTCCGGTACAACTGAAGCTGGTTATTTAATTTGCATGTACGTGTGAATTCTCTAAAATTTCTTCTATTATTTATTTCTGGTGTCATACCATTATAGTTTGAAAAGATACTTGATATTAGTTTAGTCTTCTTAACTTTGTTAGACTTGTTTTGTGGCCTAACATCTGATCTGTCCTCGAGGGTGTTCTGAGTGCACTTAAGAAGAATGTGTATTTGGATGTTGTTGCATGGAATGTCCCATATATGTCTATAAGATCCATTGGTCTAAAGAATAGTTTAAAGCCAATGTTTCTTTATTGATTTCTTGTCTGGATGATCTGTCCAGTGATGAAAGTGGGTACTGAAGTACCCTACCAACATTGTATTACAATTTGTCCTTTCACATCTATTAGTATTTGTTGTATGTATTCAGGTACTCTAATAATGAGTGCATATAGATTTATAATTATTTTTTTCTCTTGATGAATTGACCACTTTATCATTATATAATGACATTCTTTGTCACTTTTTACATTTTTGACTTAATGTATATTTTATCTGATGAAAGTATAGCTACTCCTCCTGTGTTTTGGTTTCCATTTACATGGAATATCCTTTCCATCCTTTCCTTTTCAGTCTATGTGTGTGCTTACAGGTGAAGTGAGCCTCTTGTAGCCTAACATATAGTTGGATTTTATTTGTTTGCTTTTTTCTTAATCTATGCAGTCACTCTAAGTCTTTTGATTGGGTACTTTAATCCATTTACATTCAAGGTAATTATTGATAAATAAGGATCTACTACTGCCATTTTGTTAGTCATTTTCTGGTTGTTTTGCCCATCCTTTGTTCTTTTCTTCCTCTTTTGCTGTCTTTCTTTGCAATTAAGTGATTTTCCCTAGTGTTATGTTTTGATTCCTCACCTTTTATCTTTTGTGTATCTACTATAGGTATTTTTTTTCTTTGTAGTTACCATGAGGTTTACAAAAAACTCTTACAGTTAAATAGGCTATTTTAAGCTGATAACTTAACTTTGCATAAAAATAATCTCTACACTTTTACTCCACCCCCAACATTTAAAATATTTGATGCATAATTTATATTTTTATATTGTGTATCCCTTACCAAATTTTTGTAGCTACTATTTTAATAGCTTTGTCTTTTAACCTTCATATTAAAGATATAGTGATTTACATATTACTATTAGAATATTAGAGTATTCTGAATTTGACTATGTACTGACTTTTATTAATGAGTTTTATTTTTTTTTCTTTTTTACAGAACATACTTCTGCAGAATATTAATGAGTTTTATACTTTCACATGTTTTTGTGATATTACATAGCATCTTTTTATTTTAGCTTGAAGAACTCCCTTTAGCATTTCTTATAAGACAGATCTGGTGGTGATGAACTCCCTTGGCTTTTATTTGTCTGGGATTAAACATTTTTGACTAAATTTTAGTTTTAAGATAAAAAATATTACAATAATAAGCATTTATTCTCTACTATACAGTCAAAAAACATTTTCTCATTTGGATTTCATAATTGTCCTGTAAAGCAGATTTTATCACCATCATTTTAAGGAAGAAGATCCTAGGGCTCTTTTGGTTAAACTGCTCTTCCAGAAAAGGTTAGCCAGTGAGAGGTAGAGTTACACCAAAAAATTTTCTAAAGGAAACTGTTTTGTCTATGAAACATATATGATCATAAAATCTCAGTCTTGCTTAATTTTTGTAGTTCTCATTATTCTATAAAATACAAATATTGGCTCACCCACCAAAAATTACTATATTAAACAGGAACATTTTCTATAGTCTCCGTTCTATTTCTCATCCTTTCAGTTATGGACTGCACTCAACTTGCCCATCTCCCTCCATCAGTGGAATTTTATCACAAAGGCCTCATGGCCTGAATCATCATTTCATCCAGTAATTTCAGCAGCAGACACTGAGCTGAGAATAAAGGCGATCGTGGAGAAACTAGACCAGCAGATCCCGCCCAGACCTTTCGCCCACGTGAACACCACCACCAGTGCCGCACACAGCACAGCCACCGTCCTCAACCCTCGACACACCTACTGCAGGGGGGACCAGCTGGATGTCCTGCTGGAGGCCAGGGACCACTTGGGACGCAGGAAGCAATACGGTGGGGATTTCCTGAGGGCCAGGATGTCCTCCCCAGCCCTGGAAGCAGGTGCTTCAGGAAAGGTGACTGACTTCAACAACGGCACCTACCTTGTCAGCTTCACTCTGTTCTGGGAGGGCCAGGTCTCCCTGTCTCTCCTGCTCATCCACCCCAGCGAAGGGGTGTCGGCTCTCTGGAGGGCAAGGAACCAAGGCTATGACAGGGTAATCTTCACAGGACAGTTTGCCAATGGCACCTCCCAGGTCAACACTGATTGTGCCTTGGTTTTAAACTCAAGTGCTGAACTGTGCCAGTACCTGGATGCTCAAGACCAAGAAGCCTTTTATTGTGTGAGGCCTCAATACATGCCCTGTGCTGCACTCACCCACATGCATTCCAAGAACAAGGATGTTTCTTATCTTAGCAAACAAGAAAAGAGCCTCTTTGAAAGGTATATCATTATTTCTGGAGACTACCAGGGCAGTTATGATTTGGCCTATATGTCAATCAACAAAAAAGTCCTATCAATATATCTACTCTGGGACTCTTTAATAAGAGCCTTTTGGGAAAGAACCTGTGAATTCATTTGGGGACAGTGCCCACTCTCTAGTAGTCACCAAGCTTTTTGGATATTTCATTCTTCTGAATGAAATAAAAATATAGGCAGAATAAAAGTCAAAAGAGAATGAGAAATACCCACCTCAGTATGTGTGTGTGCACGAATATATTCCTTCTGCATCTCAATAAATCACCCGTCACACCTTCTGGGTAACTGTATCTCATGGAGTATTAGACAAAGAAATGGAAATTTACTAAATGGCCCGAAAATATGGGCACAGTAATTGGCGTATCACTAAGAAATGACTGAAGCACTGTATAATCTGGCTTCTTGACTGTTTCCTGATTTGGGACCACCTGCAGATTAATTTCTGTATTTGTCTCTTTAAGGTCAAACGTGGGTGTAGAGATTATGGAAAACTTCAATGTGATTAGTGTCTCCAAATGTAACAGTAAGTGCTCCTAGGTTGATGGGTGGTGGTTAATTCCAAGCCCATTTAAAGAGTTTCTCCTTTCTGCTGGACTTGTTTACTGTTTCAGTCCTCTCAGCAGTCTGCCTATCTGCTTGTCTAAGGTGGGCCAAGAGACCAGTTACTTAGGTGAAGCAATAATTGGCATCACTGGGATATAATAAACCTCTTATAGTAACTGTAACTCTCATCATCAGTCTACTCATCAGACAATGTGTTACCTGCCCATTTTACACAACAACCTTAAAGCATTAAAACCCTCTCCCAATTCTACATCTAGTTCTTACCTCCCCCACTCCAGCCCTCCCCACACCACTGCCACCACCACTTCCCACCTTACTACCAGCCCTAGAATCATCTCCAAGTTTCCAGCCTGCCATCTAGGAGTCAGTCAACTCACTACAATTCCCCTCTCCTAGTCTTTGCCAGCTTTGAAGCAATTTTGAGCATAAACAACAGAACTTCCACACTTATATTTACTAATTTCTCTTCAATTTCTTTGACCCCAGGCAACGTAGGAAATTCATATCTAAAATGATTTAAGGCAAGCGCTTTTATGTCTCTGTAAGTTCAACATTAAAAGCTTGCTAATCACTAATCCATACTGAAGTGTAATTATGTACCTAGATATATAAATGTTATTTTTCACCCCACATACATGGGTATACTCATCCCAATTAAACAACTTCCTTTAGTTGATGAATAATCACTGCCCCAGACCTACCATGGGCTCCTCACCATCCTAGGCATTTAAGCCCCTCAGATTCTCAGACTCTTCATAAACCAGTGACTAAGGGGTTAATAATACCTAGCCCATCTTAGGCCCCCAGGACTTTCTCTGGCTTATAGCCATATATATTTGATTGACGAGTTCCCAGGCCAAACTTGTGGTTAATTTCTTTTATATTATCTGTGTTTAACTTAAAGGATTCATAGTTTGATTGTGGCATTTAAGACACTATAACAGAGTGCCAGGAGTAAAGTGGGCTAAAATGTTAGGATAATTGAGCTCCCATTACTATGCAAGAGTTTATGACTTTAGTTTTATAGGAAGGCTCACAAATACTTAAATTTTACCCAAAAGACCATTTTTTTCTGGAAGGAGGTATGTACTCTTATAATGAACATTAATGGATATCATTTAGGAAATTCACATCAGAGAAAAATTTTACTAAAAAATAGCTATTCCACTAAGAGGATACACTAATAAGGCTTTTCTACCACTACCACCACCCCCATCCCCTATTAAGAGGATATTTAGAAAAGACAGAAGGCTCTTAATAAATACCGATGGACAATGTGATGTTTTAAAAGATTCTATCTTGCTGATTCTTTGGCAGAAGAAACAGTTCCAGTGAAAGAGAAATGCAAGCCTGGAATGACATCCACAGTCCCCAGTGGGCATGTCTGGAAAAACACATGGAATCCTGCCTCCTGTAGTTTGGCTACAGTCGAAATGAACAAATGCCTGAGAGGAAAATCTGTATATCTACTGGGAGATTCCACAGTCCGCCAGTGGATGGAACACTTCAAAAGGAGTATCAGAAGTATGCCTCAGTCTAAGCTATTACTCATATTACCCTTTCAGAAAATTATTTTTCATTTCAAGGGGAGAAAGGAATGTGGGAAATTTGTCTTCTTTTTCATATTTCCTAATTACAACACACCAAATTTTTCCGTAAGACATTGTTATCTTTCCTTTAAAAGAACACATTTATTGACTGGAAGGGAGCCAGTATAGAAAAAGGTTTATTTCATCCCTACTGCTACAGAATTCACACTTTAGGATGTACCTAGCATGCTCACAAAATTATTAATGGAGCCAAAAATAACTTAAGATATTTAACTGTCCATCTTCTATGGTTGGCATAATGATTAAGGGTGTGGATTCTAGATCCAGATGAGCTGGGTTCAAAACCCGATTCCTCCTATCTGGGTGATCTTGAACAAGTTACAAAACCATTCCATCCCTCAGGATCCTCATCTGTCAACTAGCGATGAAAAGAGTACACCCTGGCAATATATGCAATACATACAGAATACTGTTTATTACAAAATAAGTTCTCTTTGGTGTCAATTATTATCACTATTATCATTATCTGAGAGGACAGACGCCAGGAGCAAGGTAGTGACCTTGCATCAAGTAGACACTATAGTTAAAAGGATGGGCTTTGGGGTCTAATAGACCTAGACTGTGCCACTTAGAAATAATGACCTTGAGCATGTTATTTTTTTTCCCTGCATCATTTTCCTCAACAATCAAGTAGGACTAATAATAGTACCTGTTATTTGTTTTGAAGATTAAATGAAGTAATGGATACACAGCATTTAACACATTGTAAGGCACATGGATTCATAGAAAGTGCTCCCAAAATAATAGCCATTGCAATTATTATCATTAATAATTAATGCCGGAGTCAGGCTAGAATCCTAGCCCAGTTTTTCTGTTTATTAAACCAAAAGAGTACACCAGTAATAACTCAGAAGGCACTAGTGATAGAAACTGTCAAGCCAGCATAAAAAAAAAAAAAAAAAGAAGGCACTAGTAGACCTTAGCAATCTCACCTAGAACCATCACTGCTTGCCCCTCCATGTTCCCAGCCACTGGCTCTCATCACTGAGAACAATGCAGAGGCTATGGCTTTGACCTGGCCTTCTTGCTATGAGGCCACTTGTGATCTCAAACTTAGAAGGAAAGTTGATCTGATCCAAATGGGGAAATCGGTAGGGCCTTGGTTCTATGTTATAAAGGAGAATTCTTAACAGAAAGGAAGGTTTTAAATTGTGACCTCTGGTAACTGACTACACTCCTTGAGACCTCAGTTTCCTCATCTGCAAAATTAAGGGTCTAGTGATAACTTTTAGTATCACATTCTATAATGGTAGATCTCTTAAGTCATATAAAGTACTGAGTTATTAAGTTACCTGCCTTCTTCAACTCATCTTTAAAGTTGTGGTAGGAAAACATCTGTTGTACATTTTGTTAAAAGTTAAATTCTATGGCCAGCATGCGCTTTGGAAAAGAAAACTAAAATAAGTTGGAAGTGGAGTGAAGAAAATAGTTCTACCATTTTCTTCCAGCCAATCTCTGTTTTCCACCCTCACTGGGTTAAGACTTCAAATGAAGCCCTTTACTTCTATAATAAGATGGTCCATGTTACAAAGCTTCAATAATCTTTCTCTATACGTTTCCCTCAGAAGTTCCAGCTACAAAGCAGCTGGCTCTGTCATTCTGATAAGGTTCTCATTGATATGACTAAAAACAGAAAGATTTCATTTTATTCTACTCATATTGTGCTTACTTTCAGAAGTGTCAAGAACAGGTAGACTATTTTCACAAGAATTGGAGGAACTTCAAGTTTAAATGTTGATTCTGTCACTAACTGTAATTTTGGGCAAGTTATTTCCTCTCTTGGTTTTCTTTTCTATAACACGGGAATTAAATATGTATATAAGGATCTTTGAGGTGAAAGGATATATCAATCTAAACGCTTTGTAAACTGTAAAGGACTTCACAAATGAGTGGTAATGCTATTATTATTATAGATGATGTAATCAATACCATTCCATGCATATGTGAAGGAAACACGAAAGGAAGGAATACAATCTCAGTCTTAAGGGAATTTACAGAGTATTTGGGGAAATAGGTTTACTTGTTTGTTTGTTTTTTTAATGTAAAGACCATCAATGAGTTCCTTTCTCCATCATCAAATGAGCTTAGTCTACAGTTAACAAAATGTACACAAATATACCTCCAGTGAAGTTACCTGAATACCTTACCATCTCCACTGCATTTGATTCCACATGATTCTAAAAGGGGGCATATATGATTTCTTAAATTTGTATAATAATTTTGATTGTTCAAATAATTTTCAAAAGCATACCCTCATGTAAGCCTATAATAAATCAGGCATGATTAGTTTAATTATAAAGATCAAATCTTTTCTCCTACTTTATGACTAGTCAATCTTGGTAACTTTATTCTCCTTTCATTCTGGGATTGCCTATTCGTCATCAGCACTGAAGTCAGTGGATATGCATGAGTCTGGAAAACTGCAACACCAACTTGCTGTGGACTTGGATAGGAATATCAACATCCAGTGGCAAAAACATGGTTACCCCTTGATTGGATCAATAACCTATTCAGTCAAAGAGATTGAGTACATCGCCCGGGCCATTGACAGAATTGGAGGAGAAAAAAACACTGTCATTGTTATTTCTCTGGGCCAGCATTTCAGACCCTTCCCCATTGATGTTTTTATCCGAAGGGTCCTCAATGTCCACAAGGCTGTTCAGCGTCTTCTTCTGAGAAGCCCAGACACTATGGTTATCATCAAAGCAGAAAACATCAGGGAGATGCACAATGATGTGGAGCGCTTTAGTGACTTTCATGGATACATACAATATCTTGCCATAAAGGACATTTTCCAGGATCTCAATGTGGGTCTCATTGATGCCTGGGATATAACAATTGCATATGGCACAAATAATGTACACCCTCCTGAACATGTAGTCAGAAATCAGGTTAACATATTTTTAAACTACATTTGCTAGATAACACGTATGTCTGAAATTCATTTACTTAAGTAAAAAAAAAATGTATTATTGAGTGTCTGTTAACAGGCCAGATGCTGTGTGAACTCCCAATTAGCAGGAATAGAGAATCTACACTACCACTGATCTATAAGCCTCCGGTTAAGCTAAATCAGATAGTTCTAATCTGGGATTCCACTTCAAAATGGAACTATCAGAGGTGCTAGTTCACCATTCATTTTTATGGTTGAGTAGTACTACTACATGGTATACACATACCACATTTTATTAATCCACTCATGTATGGATGGGCACTTGGGTTGTTTCCACACCTTTGCCCTGGGTGGTCCATTCTTTGATGTGAAGTATCACAAGAATGGAAAAACAAGCACCACATGTACTCACCATCAAATTGATACTAACTGATCAAAACTCAGGTGCTCACATGGAAGTAATATTTATCAGGTGCCGGGCAGGTGGGAGGGGGGAGAAGGGGATGGTAAATTCATAACGAATGGGTGGGGAGCCCACTGGGGGATGGGCATGGCTTGGGCAATGCAAAGGCAATATATGTAACCAAAAATGTACCCAATAATATTCTGAAATTTAAAAATCTAACTAAATAAATAAAATAGCTTTTGATTTAAAAAAGATGCTAAAAATATTCGTGGAAAGAACCTACCCTTCTTAATCAGAGCCATGCCACTCTTCACCCATGGGAAGTGAGGACACCTATGGGTAAAAGTTCTTCTCTATGGTGCATGAAAATCCAGAGCAATAAAGTAATTGTAAAATAAACATTTAGAAAAAGAAAAGACTCATTTGCTTATTTCTACTACCAAAGAAACTTATTTCTACTACTTGAGATGATTTCCAAGTGAGAAGAAAAGTCTTATCGAGCAATTCTCCCAGTCATAGAGAAAATTCTAAGCAAGGACCCCTGGATCCTACAAACCTTTGTCTCTTCTCTCTCTATAGAAACTCCCACAGCTCCTATCCAATTCTATAGAATTTATAGGGTTTAAAGTCTGTGGCTAACACAGGTTAAAGCACAGTGCACTAGAATTCAGAGAGCTGAGCTTTAATCCTGTTGCTGCCCATCATTTTAGGACTTTGGATAGGTCACTTCAGCTCTCTGGGCCTCACTTTCCCAAATGAATGATTTGTGAACAGTCCATGATTTGTGAACTTCAAACCTTGCTCTGTGCAGCTGTGGGTGCCACAGGTGGTACTCTGGGCACTGCCTTGAGGGACAGGAATCAGGAGAGGCCTGTGGGGGAGAGTTCCAGTCCTACTACCACTGCTTCGGTCAGAGCATCAGCCACTCTTACTTACCTGTATGTGTATTGGACTTCATTCAAGTGTTTAAAACATGCTTGAAAGCCATTGTGTAGATAATCAACAACATTGTTCCTACAATCTACACTGTACGTTAACATTTTAATCACTCTCATTTGCATTTTAATAGGCTTTCTCAAGACTTGACCAAAAAGGCGTGATGGATATGAGAATTTCAGTTGAATAGAGCAATGTAATTATTGTAAAGTAATTTGGTACCATATTCTTCCTTAATTTTGTGCTCTTCATCATGCCCCAGATACCATTTGGCCCCGACTTATTCTTGCCACATCTGGAAAAAAAACAATTATAAGAGGATATCTTAAGTCTGTTTATCCAGTTTTCTTTGGGCAGGAGATAATACAGTTTCTATTTATTTGCCAATGAACCACCATTCACAGCTCAATGCCTAGTATACAAACAGATGGTCAAAAATATTTATTAAGTCCCCACTGTGTGCCAGGGACTGTTCTAATCTTTAGGGATACAGTGGTCAAAAAGACACATGAAATCTCTGCCATCAACAATTTTACATTCTAACAAAGGAAAAAGATAAAAAAAAAAAAAAAAGATATAAAATGATTCCATAATAAAGTCACAGGAACAAAACATGTAACAGGGAGACGTGACAGAGTGACCGCGTGGTGGTGATGGCAGTGACTAGTCAGGGCAGTTGGAGAAGCATCTCAGAGGAGAAACACTGCAGATGGAATCACAGCGAGGGGAAGGGGACAGCCAGGAGACAACAGGGACAAGAGAAAGCCTGGAGAAGTTAGACAGGAGAATGAGGTTTAATCTGGGATGGCCTTGTGACCTTTGAGAAGGAGTTTGAATTTTATTCTAATTACAATGAGTGGGTGGTTGAGGGAGGAAGTGTTATTCAAACACTCACTTTCCTTTGTTTCTGTGACACAACTGTCTTTGTGTTTTCCGCATGCCTCCCTAGAGACTCTTTCCCTTTCTCCTTTGCCAACCCCCCTCCATTGCTTGGCCTCTAAAATTGGAGTTCCCTGGGGTTCATTTCTACACATCTACTTTGTTTGCTCTAACTCATTTTGGGTGATATCCACTCCCTGGTTTAAGTATCACCTGTGATTTCAACAACTTCTAGATATTTGTCTCCAGCTCTGATCCCTCCACTGAGCTTAGGACTTGCATATCCAATTGTTTACTTAACTCCCCATTTACCTATCTCAAAGGCATCTCAAATTCAACATGATCAGAATAAATTCTTGATTTGTATTCCAAAATGTTTGTCCGTAGTCTTCTCCAATTCAAAAATGTTGCCAAGACCAATACAGTAGTCATAAATTATCCTTGATTCATCCATTTCTCTCATTTATTTCAAAGTTCAGCTGTATTTTCTTATCATATATGTAGAGAATCTTTCTCCTCTTCTCTATCTCCATTGCTACCTCTTTTCTGGACTAGAATAATTAGTCTTTCTGCTTATAATCTTGAAACAGAATTTATTCACATAGTAGCCCCAGATTGAGCTTTTTAAGCTGTGAATGAGATCATTTCACAACCCTGGGTTGCAGAAAAAATAAAAATTATTTAATGGTTTCTAAATCCTTTCTAAGAACCATGGGCTGTTTTTTTTTTTTTTTGTCAGTCCAGTCTCAGATAATTTTCCTGACTGCACAATCTTTTTTTTATTTCATCATATTATGGAGGTACAAATATTGTTAGGGTTACAAATATTGCCCCTGCTCCCCTCCCTCCCCCCAATGTGTCCAATCCCCTGGTGGTGTGCATCACACATGTTATGGAAGCATACACCCTTTCTCCTCCCCCCTACGCCTGCCCACCACCTGATAAAAAGTTTTGTTTGATTTTTTTTTAACATTTTGGTTACATTGTATATCTTTGCCTCTCCCTAAGAAGGGTTAAAGTTATGCCCTTCCCTTCCCAAATACTCGCCACCTCCCTAAGATTGGGTCCTCCCCCCTCCCAAATCCCTGGTGAGCATTGCCACCATTTGAAAACCACAGTTTTAATCAGTCAGTACCAATTTGATGGCGAGTAGATGTAGGACCCATTTTCCATGTCTTGTGTCGTCTCACTTTGGATAACGGGCTTAAGCTTAATCCAGGATAACATAAACGGTGCTAGCTTACCGTCATTTTTTAGGATTGAGTAATATTCCATTGTGAGGATATACCACATTTTAATTATCCACTCATGAATGATGGGCTCTGGGTTGCTTCCATGACCGTGCAATAAGTGAATTGTCTGCTATAAAATTTGGTGCAGATGTCTTTATAATAGAATGTCTTATGCTCTTTTGGGTAGATGCCCAACATGCTATTGCAGGGTCAAATGGTATTTCTATTTCGTAGCTGTTTGAGTATCTCCAAATTCCTTTTCCACAAAGGTCACTAATTTGCAGTCCCCCAGCAGTGTAGAGTGCCCTGTCTCTCTGCATCCTCGCCAGCATTTTGTTGTTTGGGGTTTTCTTGATATAGGCCATTCTTACTGGGGTTAGGTGTATCTCATTGTGGTTTTGATTTGCGTTTCTCTAATAATTAGAGAAGTCTTTCTATGTTTGCATGCCATTATTCTGTCTTCTTTGGAGAAGTTTCTTTTCATTTCTGCCGCCATTTCTTGATGGGATTGTTGCTTTTCTTGTTAATTCTTTCAGTCTAGATAGATCTTGTTATTAACCTTTATCAGAGGTGTAGAGAGCAAATATTTCTCCCATCTGTGGGTGTCTATTTGCTTACTGATGGTTTCCTTGCTGTGCAAGAATTTTTAATTTGATCAGATCCCATTTGTTTATTTTTGATGCTGCAGTGATTGTCTTGGGGTCTTCCTCAAAAATTCTTGCCTAGGCCAATGGTCTGATAGGGTTTTCCCAATATTCTCTTTCTAGAATTCTTTAAGGTTTCATGCCTTAAGTTTAAGCTGTTATCCATTCTTTATCCAGTTGAATTTGTGAGAGGTGAGAGTAGGATCTGATTTGCTTTCTCATGTACTGCAGTTTTCCCAGCACATTTATTAAGAGAGATTCTTTTCCCAATGTATATTTTGTCAGCTTTAATCGAAGATTAGATACCGTATACTGATGGTTTCATCTCTGGTATCCAGATCTATTCAGAACTATGTTCCCATTCTTATGCCAGACTAGACTTGATTTAACTATTAGTGCTTTATAGTACAGCTTGAGGTCCAGGAAGACTGATGCCTCCCAGTTTGTTCTTTTTATTTAAGATTGCTTGGCTATACGAAGTTTTTTCTGGTTCCATACAAAGTGAAGAATCTATTTTTCTAGATCTGTAAAGAATGCTGATGGTATTTTTGATGGGGATTGCATTGATTCTGGTAGTACATTAGGTAATATTGACAATTTTAACTATATTGATTTACCAATCAATGAAACAAGTTATTTTTCATCTGTTTTTTAAATCTTCTGCAATTTCTTTTAGTGTTTCCATAGTCTCCTTGTATAAATCTTTTTGAATATCTTATTTGTTTAGGTATATCAGATTATTTAATTTCTTTGGGGCTATAGTAAAGGATATGCGTTTTGATTTGAGTTTCTGCTTGATGGTTCTTGGCATAATGAATGTTCTGACTTGTGAATATTTTATTAACCTGAAACTTACAAATCAGGTTATCAAGTCTAGGAGTCTCTTTGGAAAAGTCCATGGGGTTTCTAAGTATATAATCGATACCATGCAAAGAGCGAGAGTTTGATTATCATCTGCCCACTTGGATGCCCTTAATAGCCTCCTCCTGATCTGATGCTATCGGCTAAGACTTCAAGTACTATGTTAATAAGGAGAGGAGATAGCGGGTACCTTGTTAAGTTCTGGATTGAAAGGGGGAAAGATTTCACATTTTCTCCATTTAGAATAGAATTACCATGGTTTGCATAGATGGATTTAATAAGTTTAAGTATGACCATCTATGCCTATTTTTGTTAAAGAGTTTTTTATCATAAAGGTTTTGGACTTTGTCAATTCTTCTGAATCTATTGAAAGAATCAATGGTCTTTGTTCCTTGGTTTTATTATGATGTGGAATTCCATTTATAGACTTGGGTATGTTGACCACCTTGCATCTCTGAATAAAGCCCACCCTGGTCTGGTGAATGTATTTTTTGATGTGGCGGTCTGAACTTACTATTCACTAAAAATTTTAATAGATTTGCATCTGTTATTCATGAGGGATATGTGGTTCTGTAATTTTCTTTTTGTTGTTGTGTCGTCTGTCTAGCTCTGGTTCGAAGGTGATATTGGCTCTCGTAGAATGAGTTAAGGAAAGCGGATACCATCCTTCCTCACGACTGTGTGGGAATGTTCTATGTAGGTATATGTATGGGCAGTTGTATCTTTGTAGTTTGGTTAGAACTCTGAAGTGCTAACCATTCTGCAGGGACTTTTCCCTTTGGGCAGGTTTTTAACTTTGCTTTCAATTTCTGAGCTTGAGATTGGTCTTGTTAGGATTCTGTTTCCCTGCGTGATCTTCGAGAGGTTGTATGAAATCAGAATTTGTCCGTTTAATCTTCGTTCGTGTATTTTGGGGCATTATAGGTTTTTCGATAAAGATCAAATATAATGTTTTTGCCTATTTCTCACTTGGGGTATTCTGTTGTGTCTCTCCATTTTCATTTCTATTGAGTTGATCTACAAGTCCTTTCCTTTGGGTCTTGTCCAAATCTAGCAGAGGCCATCATTGTTGTTTTCTTTTCAAAAACCATGTTCTGGTTTTGCTGATTTTTGTATGTATAGTTCTTCTTGTTTCCATTTCATTCAGTCTGCTTTGATTAGTGTTGGTTATTTCTTTTCTTCTATTAGGGATTGGAAGTTGTTTGCATCGTTCCTTTTCCAATTCCTTGAGCTTATTTATTAGGTTGTCAGTATCTAAGCTTTCTGTTTTTTGGATGTGAGCATTAATTGCTATTAGTTTTCCTCTCAGGTAAACTTTTGCTGTATCCCACAGGTTTTGGTAAGAGGTATCACCATTATCATTTTGTTTGAAGAAATTCTCGATTTCCCTCTGAATTTCTTCCTTTACCCAATAATTTTTCAATAATAGATTGTTTAGTTTCCATGATTTTGTGAGGGGTTGAGTGTTTCTATAGGAATTGAACTGTAATTTTATACTGTTATGGTCATAGAAGATATGAGGTATAATTTCTATTTTCTTGAATTTTTTGAGATCTGATTTGCAACCTAGGATGTGATCAATTTTGGCGTAGGATCCATGGGCTGCTGAAAAGAATGTAAATTCAAGTTTGTTTGGATGGAATGCTCTGTAGAGATCTGTCAGACCTTTTTGATCAAGG